AAGCATGCGTACACTTGTTGATGCATATGTTTCCCACTTTTGTCTGTCATTTCTGTCTCTTTCATGTTGGAGGAAAACTAGTTTTTTTGCAGATTTTGTTTCATGAATCTAGTTGTTGATGTTGCATTTTTTTCCAGCTGGCATATTCTAATGAGGATGAGGATTCCGAATGAAGGTCCTTGTGATCCTATTGCTCCCTTGGGAGCTACCCCATTCTCTGCATGCATTTCATCGAGTTTCTTCAACAGATGAGTTGAACGTGGTATACTATCCTTGCTGTGTTGTTTTAAGCACATATTTCTACCTTCTGTTTCTTCCAGTCCAAGTTCTCTTGTTTCCTAGGAAGGTTATCACCCATTTCGCGGAGGATTCTGGAATTACTTCAGCATGGGTAAGAGTTGTTCTTGGATTAGCATTTGTAGTGCAAAATTAGCAGGGTCATCTCCTCTGTTCTTTATAGAAGCCTTTTAAGTGGACTTCGGCAAAGATTGCTTTTCCTGAGTTACAATAAACTTCAAATCTTGATTTTTTGTTAGCTTTTTATCACTTGAGAAACTTGGCTACTTTGAAAAGCATTGAAGTGATTTAATAGGTGAATGTATGGTTGATGATAAATTATAAAGTTATAGGTATTCTTATTCATAGTCATATGAGTCATCCATGGCAATATAAGTTGTATATCATTATATGTATGCTTTATATGAACCTGGATGCAAAAGTGAACTGTTTATTCTTTGTTTCTTACAGGAATGGATGCTCAAATATCATATGCATTTCATTCTGAGAGGAAATTGCATCCTGAAAAATTTAAAAATCAATTAGTTAACCAGGTATTACCTTACTTTCCACATGTTATTGTTGCACATGTACATTGTAATTAGCAATGGTACACTTTATTGAATGACTTAGCTAGTAATTTCATCTTAAATTTAAGAAGTGTCCAAGCTATGGCATATAAATTTTATTTCAGCTACTTTTATCCATTAAGAGCAAGGCTGAGAAATCTTAATCAAATAGTTTTAAGAATAATATGGCTAGAAAGTACTATGCTTTTAGGTTATGTTGGTTAAAACCTGGGAATACTTGATAATCCTTGTGAAGTGGATACTCCAATCTTGTACATGGTGATACAGAATTTGGTATTCAGTAGCAGAAGATCCTAATGCTGTAAGTTTCTAGATCCTTAATAGTTTTCTTTTGTTGCCTTTATTGGTCAATTAGTTACTGTAATGATTTGGTCTAAAGCTATTCTAAATTTGGTAAATCTTTGTAGCAAATAAGTCCCTTTATTATTTTTCTTTTTCTTGGAAGTAGATTATGTAATACACTTTTGAGATTTTACAATGATAACTAATTCATCAGGATCAAAAAAGTCTAACAAGATTAATATTTTAAATACACATGTAAGTGGATTTTTGGTCAATTCAGTGGTGGAGATGTTTCTCGTTTGCATACCTTAACTCTGTTTTGAGAATTTTGGTTGGGTTTATTACATAAATCTACTAGTTTACTGGATAGCCTCTTCATCTGCAAAAATTTGGTATTTCTTCAGGAAAGTAGGTTTTTGAACTTCTCTTTTATTTCTGATTATTATTATTCATTTTATATAATCTGGTCTAAATTTATGTCACCTGGATACGTATATTGCCTATATTGGAAAACATTCATCAAATTGGGTTGGTCCATTAACGCATGTAATGTGTTCAGTTTTGTAAATGAGCATCCTTTATTATCTTTTCCTTTGATTCTTTTCTTCTTGTCAGAGTACTTACGCCAGGCTTGGTTGTACGCAAGGATGGTTTTTCGCTTCTCTCTTCCATCCTGCTTCACGGTGAGTGTAGAGGTTTCTCCTTAAGATAGAAGACTCTTTACTTGCCTTAATAGGGATTACATATTACAAAAAGTGTCCAGCTTTAGTGTTTCGATATAAAAATTTCCCAACTCGTTCATGAATGATTTTTTATCTTTTACAGTTGTATATTAGCTAAAGCCACCATGTTGTAAATTGAAGCTATGGGGAGATTGAACATTTATTCCCAATCCTAGTTACTTATCTTTCAGTTGTACTAGCAGTTACCATTTTGAAAATTTAATAGTTATTGTGAATGACATCAGATTCTTTTTCACCTCCAATGAATCTTTTATATTTCAGGAGCATGAAATATAGCATAGAAACAGGAATTAACAGTGTTTTGACATATATGCTACCTTTAGTGCGAAGCTGGGATTTCAACCTTTCACATTCAAGTGAATCTGGAGCGTTTTTCTCTTATAATTTTGTCTTTTTTCATGTTAAATTTGAAACTTCTCTTTTTTTCGGTATTATAGAAATATAGCGCAGCTTGCAAAGGTGAAAGTCATGAAAAAACATGGTGAATGGCAAGATCTCCACATACCTCCCAGGTAAATTGTTGAGTTTCAGGCTTAATACTGTCTAATTTAAACTAGGCATATCATTCTGCACGGAAGTTAACCATACGAAATTGTGGAGGACATCTTTCGACTGATAATGACTTCCACCTTGATCTGAAAGGAAAAAAAAAAAAGAAGCTTTTGCTTGTTACTTAAAAAAACAACTTCAATCTGCTGTTCATTAATGTGGCATTCTCATTGATTATTCATTTTTTGGTTGCATAAAACATGCAACTGTCTGATCCTTTGGGAGATCACAATCTTGAAGGCAGGTTTGTTTACAGTATAATTTACGTTTCTGTAATACAATTCAACTCTGTTATTCTACAGGTTATATGTGGTTCTGTTTTCCTGAGTCATCACCATGTTTATTTTATTGCTTCCGTTTGCATATAGTATCAGCGATGCTGTACTTTTTT